TGCACATGGCGGTTACGTCACAGTCCTGTGTGAGATTGAAGCGGGGTGGTTGGCTTATACCCGCTTGCCTATGGACGGGTCATATAGATCTTGTTAATGGGACTCCGGCCTAGGGTCAGACGATCACATGCCCTCATACTTTCCCCTCCCCCACCGCGGCTGCAGGCACAGAAATGCACTCGTGCAAGCATTTGCTATGCCGGTATGTTGTGTGGGACCTGGAGTTCCCGAACGTGGACAAGGTCACACCTTTGGCAACGCCGTCAACTGAGGACAGCTCGGCACGCCGCTGAAAACTGGCCGACCTAATCCTTTCCCAGGACATTGCTCACATCGCTGGTGAACACCGCGCGTGGGCATCAGCCCTGGCTTGCGCCCTGCTCGTGCGAGCCCAGACATTATGGGCCTCACTGGCGCCGGACTTCTCGCCGCTGCATGCGGTTGTCGAGGAATCTTGTCGCGGAATCCTCGCCAGGCTGTCCGAAGATGGAAGCAGGTGGGATGTTCCGAAAATACTTCCGATGCATGTGCTGCTGTGCACTAAGCCAGGTGGGAGATGCGTTCGCCCCAACTGAATGTGATGCCATGGATAACTGATTCAGCGCTTACAATGTGCACAGGTCATACATTATTCACAGGCTGCTGCTTTGAAGCGAAGATGCATGCATTCCATCTCGGGGATCATCTCGGCAGCCGGTCAGTGACGAACGCGTCCGGTGAGCGGGGCTAGAGCCGGCCGCCGCGCCCGTGACGTCAGAATGGGGCGTCACGGGTTGAGACCCGCCGCTGAGAGAGACTGGCTCTTGGTGGTTAGTGACGTCACTGCTGCGTGCGTTCGTGGGTAAATATAGATTCAGAGGTGGAAAGATCTTGGTATTCGTGGAGTACCGACTTCCATTGAGCATAACGACCGGTAATAACTGGACTTTTGAAGTGGACGTCTTGTGAACTGTTCTAGAAAATTAAGTTTCCCACGTGGCCAGATTGGCTGAGCTGTAGAAATATTACCAGACTTTAACGAGCGCTTGCAGCGCAGGGTCTGTAAGGAATAGGCGCGCAGTATATGGCATGGTTGCCTGGTCACGCTACCCTGTCCTGACATAGCGTGACCGCAAGTGACGATGGATTGATAAAAGCCAAGCTGCCCGAGTAGCTGCTGTTGCCACTCGGTCATGCACTGAGGGAGACAGTGTTGTGTCATTTTTATCTTGTTGCAAATTTCATTCTTGATCAAAATGTGCACATTTCAAGCATTCGTTCCCATCCGGACGTTGATTTTACTGCGTTCCGAATGAAGAATATTGGGTGAAAGGTGTTTGACTGGTGGCAACGCTCGTGAACGTTTCATCGGTGCACGGATGATTACAACACTGCCATGGACGATGCATTTATGAAAAATGACTTTACCACATGTCTCAAAAGTTCTTCATATCCAGATCCAACAATATATTACCTGAGTATCAAATTGGCGCTATACAAGCTGGCAACCATGCAGTTAATGAAGTGAATGCTCGCACAAAACCTATCACTAGATATGACACCAATATCACAAGACTTCCACTGAAAAGCCAGCACAACAATAGGGACATTCGGCTACACAACTTCACATACAGGATGAATATTCAAACATCTTTGGTTCGCACTCGAGCACATGTCAGTTCCATCCCATCCCTGACTAGAGCAGGGGATATTTGTGCGCCGGCAGCGGCACAAGCTTCCCGTCCACGTAGTGTTTACAGACAAGGCGGGCACAGCAGTCGGGAAACTCCTTCTCCTGTTCCCCGAGCCTCGCGGCAGAACAGATTGTGGCCTTCAGCTTCTTGAAGTCCACCTGCTTTCTCACCGACGGACACCTGTAAAGTGATGCGTAAATTACAAAACTCGATAGGACGGGGACATCAAAGCACCTTCAGCGCATGATTGGAATCGCCGGCAAATTTAACTCGTCATAAAAATAATGGTTTACATTAGCATGTTGTGGACTTAATCAACGCTGGAACTGGAAATGACGGAGCTCTTGAATAGTATGCAGGGTGTTTTTTTAGGTTACAAGAATTGCACGGTGATGGTTGTCAACCATCCCGACTCCAACCGCTAACTGACGACTGCATATCACACTCACTGGAATCTGTCGATGTAGAGAACGCCGTGTCCTTGACGCAGTGACTTGTTTACAGCCAGAGAATGGGGAGCTCCAGACATCACCGATATTGTACTTCTTGTCAACCTGGTTGTCATGGCATTTGGTGTCGTCGCCTGTAGAGAAAAGACACAAGGCGAGAGTTAGCCTCAGGATCTGTAGTAAATCACCTGGCACGTTTGTTTCGCTTTGCAGTACTTTGTTCTTGAAAAGCCAGTTTCCTGTCATCGTTGTTAACTGACAAGCAAAAGGCAAGCGGTATCAATGGGATATAAGAGTTACCATGGCATCGCATTGCTAGATCTTACCTCTACCAACCGGGAAACGAAGGTATCGGGTACTGTGCACAGCACAGCTGCACACAAACAACAGCGATGACCAGCAGTTTCCACATATTGCTGACTGAAGTCTTGCACTGCAGCTGACCAGAGTCCACGCTCGTCTGCTGTCTGGTCTGGCCACAAACGCTTCTGTGTGCAGTCCCCAGCGGCCGGCTCGTTATATATGCGGCACCGGACGTGACGTCACGGTGCACGGCCGGTCGTGATCAGCGCAGTTTCCCGGGAGGATTCCCCGAGAGGCGCTGTTCTAGCACGTGCCTCGCCCGGCGTTTGGGGGCCTTCACCGTGACGCACCTATTTGAGGTCGGACCGGGATGGCCGTGTTTGTAAAGACCACCGCTCCGCAATACTGCAAACGGCCAAGAAAGGCCATACATCGGCCAGCAGACACAAGCGGATGTGGGACGTAGAAATGTTTTGCCACGTTCCCTGGACCCAGAAGACAGAAAAAGTTAACAGTACGCATACATATCTAATGCCACCGACACTCGCATGCGCTCTTGGCCCGCCGCGGTACGGCCCGCTATGGTGCGATTTATCATGCCTTGTCCATGCGTATTTTTCGCATTATGATCATGTGAAATGCCTTCTTCCGAACGTTACTGTTGGTGAGTAAGGGAGCATTGTGAGCATGGGTCTGGCTGGTATCGCCATAGAAGAAACTTTAGGGAAAAGACGCGAAGGGAAAAGATGCACTAGTTATCATTGGGAACGCTAATCAGAGTATTTTGTGAAGGCATTTGTCTTTTAGCTGGAGCTGGTTTATCTTCGTGCGTGTTGAAATTTGGTGGTGGCTGAAAGAAAGTTTGAGATTAATGCATAACTAATACTGGATGCATTACAAAAATAAACTTGACTACACTGTATCTTTTTTAAAAATCCATAGCAATATCTGGCTCACAGTTTGCTAAGAGTGGCTTCCTCCTTGAATCGTGAGCCTCCACCTAGATCACATCATCCAAGTTTAACAGGTAACTTCGCCTCTCTTCTCTGCTCGTGCCAGACGGACCGCAGGACAACATCTTACGTGTTGCACATGGCGGTTACGTCACAGTCCTGTGTGAGATTGAAGCGGGGTGGTTGGCTTCCACCCGCTTGCCTATGGACGGGTCATATAGATCTTGTTAATGGGACTCCGGCCTAGGGTCAGACGATCACATGCCCTCATACTTTCCCCTCCCACACGCGGCCTGCAGGCACAGAACGCACTCGTGCAAGCATTTGCTATGCCGGTATGTTGTGTGGGACCTGGAGTTCCCGAACGTGGACAGGTCACACCTTTGGCAACGCCGTCAACTGCGAACAGCTCGGCACGCCGCTGAAAACTGGCCGACCTAATCCTTTCCCAGGACATTGCTCACATCGCTGGTGAACACCGCGCGTGGGCATCAGCCCTGGCTTGCGCCCTGCTCGTGCGAGCCCAGACATATGGGGCCTCACTGGCGCCGGACTTCTCGCCGCTGCATGCGGTGTCGAGGAATCTTGTCGCGGAATCCTCGCCAGGCTGTCCGAAGATGGAGAAGGTGGATGTTTCCGAAGAATACTTCCGATGCATGTGCTGCTGTGCACTAAGCCAGGTGGGAGATGCGTTCGCCCCAACTGAATGTGATGCCATGGATAACTGATTCAGCGCTTCACAATGTGCACAGGTCATGCATTATTAACAGACTGTTGCTTTGAAGCGAAGAGAGCATGCATTCCATCTCGGGGATCATCTCGGCAGCCGGTCAGTGACGAACGCAGTCCGGTGAGCGGGGCTAGAGCCGGCCGCCGCCGCCCGTGACGTCAGAGCTGGTGGGTCACGGGTTGAGACCCGCCGCTGAGAGACTGGCTCTTGGTGGTTAGTGACGTCACTGCTGCGTGCGTTCGTGGGGTAAATATAGATTCAGAGGTGGAAAGATCTTGGTCATTCGTGGAGTACCGACTTCCACTTTGAGCATAAACCGGTAACTGGTACTTAAAGTGGACGTCTTGTGAACTGTTCTAGAAAATTAAGTTTCCTCATGTGGCCAGATTCGCTGAGCTGTAGAAATATTACCAGACTTTAACGAGCGCTTGCAGCGCAGGGTCTGTAAGGAATAGGCGCGCAGTACATGGCATGGTTGCTGGTCACGCTACCCTGTCCTGAGCATAACGTGACCGCAGTGACGATGGATTGATAAAGCCAAGCTGCCCGAGTAGATGCTGTTGCCACTCGGTCATGCACTGAGGGAGACAGTTGTGTGTCTTTTTCTATCTGCTTGTTGCAAATTTCATTCTTGATCAAAATGTCACACATTTCAAGTTTATTCGCGTTCCCATCCGGACGTTGATTTTTACTGCGTTCCGAATGAAGAATATTGGTGTGAAAGGTGTTTGACTGGTGGCAACGCTCGTGAACGTTTCATCGGTGCACGGATGATTACAACACTGCCATGGACGATGAAATTTATGAAAATGCTTTACCACATGTCTCAACATTCTTCATATCCAGATCAACAATATATTTACCTGAGTATCAAATTGGCGCTATGCAAAGCTGGCAACCATGCAGTTAATGAAGTCTACTGCTCGCACAAAACCATATCACTAGACATGACACCAATATCACAAGACTTCCACTGAAAGCCAGCACAACAATAGGGACATTCGGCTACACCAACTTCACATACACGGATGAATATTCAAACATCTTTGGTTCGCACTCGAGCAAATGTAGTTCCATCCCATCCCTGACTAGAGCAGGGGATATTTGTGCGCCGGCAGCGGCACAAGCTTCCCGTCCTACGTAATGTTTACAGACAAGGCGGGCACAGCAGTCGGGAAACTCCTTTCTCCTGTCTCCCCGAGCCTCGCGGCAGAACAGATTGTTGGCCTTCAGCTTCTTGAAGTCCACCTGCCTTCTCACCGACGGACACCTGTAAAGTGATTGCGTAAATTACAAAACTCGATAGGACGGGGACATCAAAGCAACCTTCAGCGCGCATGATTGGAATCGCCGGCAAATTTAAAGCGTTCTTCATAAAAATAATGGTTTACATTAGCATGTTGTGGACTTGGATCAACGCTGGAAACTGGAAATGACGGAGCTCTTGAATAGCGTGCAGGATGTTTTTTTTAGGTTACAAGAATTGCACGGTGATGGTTGTCAACATCCCGACCTCCATCCGCTAACTGACGACTGCACTATCATGCTCACTGGAATCTATCGATGTAGAGAACGCCGTCGTCCTTGACGCAAGTGACTCTGTTTACAGCCAGAGAATGGGGAGCTCCAGACATCACCGATATTGTACTTCTTGTCAACCTGGTTGTCATGGCATTTGGTGTCGTCACCTGTAGAGAAAAGACACAAGGCGAGAGTTAGCTCCTCAGTAATCTCGTAGCCAAATCACCTGGCACGTTTCGTTTCGCTTTGCAGGATACTTTGTTCTTGAAAAGCCAGCTTCCTGTCCTCGTTGTTAACTGACTACAAGAAAAGGCAAGCGGTATCAATAAGGATATATAAAGCTCCCATGGCATCGCATTGCCTAGATCTTACCTCTACCAACCGGGAATCGAAGGTATCTCGGGTATTGTGCACAGCACAGCTGCACACAAACACAGCGATGACCAGCAGTCTCCACATATTGCTGACTGAAATGTCTTGCACTGCAGTTGACCAGAGTCCACGCTCGTCTGCCGTCTGGTCTGGCCACCAAACGCTTCTGTATGCAGTCCCCACCGGCCGGCTCGTTATATATGCGGCACCGGACTGTGCCGTCACGGTGCACAGGGCCGGTCGTGATGAGCGCAGTTTGCCGGGAGGACATTCGCCCGAGACGCGCTGTTCTAGCACGTGCATGATGCCCGGCGTTTGGGGGCCTTCACCGTGACGCACGCATTTAAGATCGGACCGGGATGGGATCTGGTGTAAAGACCGACCACTCCACAATACTGCCAACGGCCGAGAAAGCTCCTCGAAGACACACAGAAACAAGCGTAGGTGGGATGAAGAAATGCTTTTCTAACCAATTCTCACATCTGGAAGGCTGGGAAGTTGGTGATCAGCCCACGCATGCCTAATGCCAGCCAAGACTTGCCTCCGCTCATGGCCGGCCGCGGTACAGCCCCGCGATAGTACAGGGTCCTGAAACTGCTCTCCACTTGGGTGGAGGGAAAGATTGCATCATTTTTATCATGTTTAACGTAAAAAATAACTGGATTAAAGCACACAACATTTGGCTGCTTGTGACTCTAGCTTTTCTTAGTTCCGGAGATCTCAGGGGGGCCAACTTGACCCCTCTCCCACCCAAGCGAATGGTATTAAGCGGCCCACCCGGGCGCGTGTTAAGGGAGCCACAGTCTCCGATGAGGCTTATAAACGGCCGAACGGGCGCTGTTTTCCAACATAAAACGCCACAAGACTGAACGTCTTTGGGCCTCCAGGCGACGAAGAACAGTTACCAACGAAAGTGACAAGCCCGTCAGCAGCCAAATTAAACTCTTCGCTGGTTGAGAGAGCGGTGATTAGAAGATATTCTGGGGCTCATAACGCTGTCTTAATGTCAAAGTTACGCTGCTGTCAGGGCTCTTTATATTTGCTACCCGGGTGTATCCGATCGCTAAGGAACATTCCAAGTTGTCCTTGATCTCTTTGCATTTTCTGGCAGGGCCCTACGCTGCTGTTGGGGCATTATCTGCTCGGATGCCTCGGCACTCTTGATCGATTAGAGGTCCCCCACGGATTCTTCCCATTCGCCCAAAAGGCTGTAAACACTTTTGCCGGGCCCCATATACCGGGTCACTCTCAGTTGCTCAGAGGCCCTTCATATTAGTCTCGGGTTCTTTCCACTTGCTCGGAGGGCCTTGTGTTGTTACTGGGGCCCATATAAGGTAAAGCACCGAGTCACTCGATGCTCAGGAACCCTCTAAATACATATTCTCCTCAATCTCGTTTGCGGAGAATCCTTCACTTCCATCGAGGCACTTTCTGTTAACTTACCCATGCATTGTTGATCGCACATGGGCATAAGTCACGCACCCTGATCTTGTGTAATTCTCCTTTGCTCAGAGGACCATGTGCTCAGCCCGGGGCCCCATATGTCGGTCTGACCGGGGCACCGATAGGGAAATGGGGCGATGTGATCCCAAGCCATTCACAAGACAAAGCATGAGTTTAGGGATTTTACAGGAGATACCAGCCACGTCAGCCTTTAAAAAATAGGAATAACCAAAAAGCCTTTTTTTCGCTTAACTTTTTGGCAGTCTTAGCGGATTTACTTTACGGACAGACTTTAGCAAAATTTAACCTTTTGGCTAACTGTACCTACTTCTGTCTTTAGCATCGCCCATGTTGATAGGTAAGTATGCAACCTTCCCCATTTTGATTTTCGGAGACACCCTGAGCGGTTCACACGTTCAAATTTCACCTGAATGTAATCGTGTCTGATAAAGCGAGCCGTTTTACAGGTCACTTCAGCCAAACATCGACCAGGTGTCGTGGAAGAGTTGGAGACAGAACATTCGCTTTGATCAGCCCGTGGTTGGTCTTGAAATTTACCCCAAAGTCATTTTGACGGGCCTGGTACAAGTCTTATTACGGAAAACCGTCGAGTTTTAGGACACAAGCTGTCTAGGAGGGAGGCCGCTGTTAACAGCCTTCGTAATGCACGTTTTTGTACCGGTTAAACTATCTTGTGCTGAGTATAACGTGACCAGCAGTGACGATAGATTAATGAAGATGCGCTGCCTATGTAGCTGCTGCTGTCAGTATGTCACACAATGGGGAAAAATGTGCGATTTTTTGTCTTCTTGTTGCAGATCTCGGATGCGTTCAAAAGTCGTAAGTTGCACGTTTATTTGCGCTTCCATCCGGTGATAGATATCGCTTCGCTTTCAATGAAGAATACAGGTTGAAATGTATCTGAATGGTAATATCGCTCACAAACGTTTCATCGGTGTACGAATGATCACAGCATCGCCATGGACGACGAAATTATGAAAAATGACTTGCACAGACGTCTCAGCAGGTCCCATCAATTCAGATTCAGCCTACATTTACCTGAACATCAGATTGCTGCTGAACCAAGCTTGCGACTAGTTGTATGCGCGAAATCTTATAACTGAAAGATCGCACCAATATCACAAGGACTCCAACTGAAAGCCCGCACGGCAATAGGCACATTCGCCTACACCAACTTTGCATACACGGATGAATATTCAAACATATTTGGTTTGCATCCCCGCAAATGTAGCTCAATCCCATCCCTCACTAGAGCAGGGGATATTTGTGCGCCGGCAGCGGCACAAGCTTGCCGTCCACGTAGTGTTTACAGACCAGGCGGGCACAGCAGTCGGGAAACTCCTTTCCTCCTGTCTCCTCTAGCCTCGCGGCAGAACAGATTGTTGGCCTTCAGCTTCTTGAAGTCCACCTGCTTTCTCACCGACGGACACCTGTAAATAAGCACGTTAATGATAAAATCAGATAGGTCAGGATCATCAAGAAACTTTCAGCGCGTTAATGATTTGAAACGTCAGTAAAAATAGACGTATGTCATACAATTCCTGGTTTACATTTGCATGCTGTAGACTAGACCAACTTTTCGGTGCTGGAAATTAAAGAGCTCTTCAAAGTGGGTTCACTTGGGTAGCAAGAATTGTAGGGTGCCAGATGTCCAGGTTCCGACCTCCAACTGCTAATTGGTGGCTGCATTTCACACTCACTGGAATCTGTCAATGTAAAGAACGCCGTCCTCCTTGATGCAGTGACTCTGTTTGCAGCCAGAGAATGGAGAGCTCCAGACATCACCGATGTTGTACTTCTTGTCAACCTGGTTGTCATGGCATTTGGTGTCGTCACCTGAAGAGAACAAAGAGGCGTCGGTGGTAAACGCTCAGGATCTCGGAGCCAAAACATCGGGTACGCTCAGTTTGGCTTTGCAGGTGCTTTGTTCATCAAAGACACCTTGCTTTCATGTCTGTTAACTGACTCTATAAAACAGGCAAGCGGTATTATTGGATACGTAAATTCCCCACGACATGGTAACTTTGATCTTACCTCTGCCAACCGGGAAACGAAGGTATCTCGGGTACTGTGCACAGCACAGCTGCACACAAACAACAGCGATGACCAGCAGTTTCCACATATTGCTGACTGACAGTCTTGCACTGCAGTTGACCAGAGTCCACGCTCGTCTGCTGTCTGGTCTGGCCACCAAACGCTTCTGTATGCAGTCCCCAGCGGCCGGCTCCTTATGTATGCGGCACGGGATTGTGACGTCACGGTGCACAGGGCCGGTCGTGATGAGCGCAGTTTTCCGGGAGGATATTCTCCCGAGAGGTGCTGCTCTGACACGTGCCTGACGCCCGACATTGGGGAACTTTACCGTGATGCACCTATTTCAGGTTGATCCGAAATGGGATCGTAAAAAACCGACCGCTTCGTGATGCTCCACGAGGCTTAGAAAGGCCAAGGACAGGCCCACAGAAACCTGTGGAGGTGGGACATAGAAATGCTTTGCCATCCGTTTCTCGGATCCAGAAGGCTGGGAAAGCTGGCATTCCGCATGTACATACCTAATGCCGCCAGTACTTTCCTCTGTCCATGGCCCGCCGCAGTACGGCCTCACTATGGTGCGGCTCGTCCATGCATACAAGCGTCATCCATCCATTGTACGCCCATCAATGTGGAGCATGTCAGCATTGTGCGATTCTTGCTTTTTCCGAACGTTAAATGTCAGGTGGCACGGCTGGAATGTCGCTGATGGAAATTTTTCTCCACAGCCTCGGAAATTGCCACCAGGCTTAAACGAGCTTGGGGTTCTTAAGTTAAGCGGGTTCACCTTCGCTATGTGTGCAATAACAATGATGTCGGCTTGGTGGCTTTTGCAAATAGGGGCGGTGCTTGATTTGTTGTGAGAATGTCCTCTGTAATTAC